TTAGAAATAATAGTAGACAATAGAAAAAATGAAAGTTATGTTGTAAACTCAGAGTAAGAGCTTAAAGCAACTTTAGACATATACAGTATCTGTAAAAGAAAGTCGGAGGTGGTTTTTCTTTTGTGTTTCTTTTTCTTTCTGCACTTCTGATCTTGTTTTCTTTTTCATTATTTGCCTTTTTATCTCTTTATTTTAAAAATCTAATAAAGTTATTTAAAAAAAAAAAAGAATAGAGAGAGGCTGCACAGGCATGGCTTTTTCCATAGAAACTGGGTTGTGGATTGGGAGGAATTTTAATTGCATGGATAACTTTGTACATGATTACAGAAGGCACAATCTTAGTTACCAGAAGAGAGACATAAGATGTTTTCCTTCCAGTGAACATATAGAAGATTGTTACTGACTTGGTTTACACTGTGCCCCGCTGATTTTCTAATCAGGAGTTATTTCTCCCCGTTCCTCTAAAACGTGACCTTTTAAAGATGAGGAATGCTGGTTCTCATTAGTGAGGGTGATGATTCTTTAAAATAAACTGATTTTATGGTAGAAGCTTGTGATCTTGTTCCATATGCTTCTGGGTTGGTATTAATCTTTATAATCTCTTTTCTCCTCCCCAGACATCTAAGAAGACCAAACTCATGATGCCATATTTTGGATACTATTCCTAGGATATGTTTCTTTCTTTCTATTTTTTTTTTTGAAATGAGAAGAACTTTGAATGGATCTTTGTGTTGGCTTTTTCAAAAATGATCATTCATAAGATGATTGTGGCTGGAGTAGACCAGCAACCATAACAAGTTTGGAGAAAATCAAGAATCGGAAGAAAGAAAGGATTAGATTTTAAAGCCAAGGAAAATGGAAGGAAGCAGGAGAGTGAATGGCATAAAAAAAGGGGAGAAAATGGAGCATCTGTGAATTGTGATGCAAAGGTTTTGGAGGAGAGCAGAAAATAGGACCAGAAGGTAACTAATTCAAGCACTTCTTTGTTTATCACCCATCCTTGTTTATTACTTCATTAGCTTTACCTTTAGGGAGATTCAGATGTATGCTTTTGATCAGATGCATTGCTACATCTGTTCCTCTAAGGCAGTGTTTCTCAACCTTAGCAACTTCAAGGTGAGTGGACTTCAACTCCCCGAATTCCCCAGCCAGCCATGCTGGCTGGGGAATTCGGGGAGTTGAAGTCCATTCATCTTAAAGTTGCTAAGGTTGAGAAACACTCCTCTAAGGAGCTAAAAGCAGCAAATGTGTTCTTCTCACAATAACTTATGGAGGTAGATTAACATGAGAATGTGACTGGACTAGTTTTCTGCTGTGATGGAATTCACACAGTTCATTAAACCCATGTTGAGAAAAGAAAGCAACTGCCTTGGTAGAGCGTGCAGTGCCCAAGCAAATGTGATCTGCTAAGGCAACTGTTGGTTTGCCCAAAATGCAGTGGTGATGGCTGGGTGCCCACCATAGCTGGTGACACACAAATTAGTCAACTCCATTTTACCCTAGTCTGGCATGTGGTCCCCCAGCTGTAGGAATCCAGCTGTAGTTCACCTCCCTCCGA